TTCCGAGAGTTGTAATTATCGAAATTATTTTACAGTAGCTTCCTAGTAGCTGAATAGTTTCATAATTCACTCAGAAATTTTTTATTAGTATGAGAAGAGATTTCTTTATTTCTAGTTAATTTACTTTCGCTTTATGATAAATTCTGGTAACTAATGTAAAATTTTTGAATTTACTAGCAAGGTTTAATGTCCATTTCTTTAATAGATTTTTTCGCTGTGACAGAAATTTCCATGAATGTGAAAATTTACTTTCTTTCGAAAAATTGAAGGTACCTATTAAAATACTTTAGAAAATCCAAGGGTTAATCGAGTATTATTAAATAGAAATGATGTTGTCCAAGCTTTTCGTACTATCTAGTGCTTAATTTCTATTCGTAAAAATGTCTCTGATATCTACTCAAATGGAATAGAACAGAAAACACAAGGTCCTTATTCTATAAGAACTCCTGACTTGATTAGAATATTAAATTTTTCTATTGTGAAACACGATCTACAAAATGACTTTTGATGGATTCTGCTAGCAAATGTAATAGAAAACTTATAATCTTAGAAATGAGTCTCACAAAAAGTAAAAATTAGGCTTGAGTCTCCCAGAATGAAACGAGAAAATAGTCGAATAAGCATAACTTAAACACTCTGTTCAATTAGAAAATCACTTTGAAGTCATTATATGATTAATTTTAGATGTCAAACACGTGTTCTGTAGAAGAACAGTTTCGTTAACTTCTTCTTTCTTAGAAGAAAATGAATTTCATTTAAACAATAGTTAGTATTGTTGATGAATTATTCTTTGATTTTCTTTTTTCTTTAATGTATTATTATCTTTGTACTACTTTTTCGAATTATTCTATTGTAACAGTTCTTAGTACGCTATATATTGATATATTCTTTGCTGTTGTTCCTTTTAAAATGCGCGACTTGTTATCTTCCTAATGCATTACAATATGCTGAAGGTTTTTCATAAGAATATAATTCATCAGCAATGTTGGTTATCATCCAAGTGGGATTCATTTTTCTTCAGAAAAAGAAGAAGTTAACGAAACTATTCCTCTAGAAAACACATATTTGACATCTAAAATTAATCATACAATGACTTCAAAGTGATTTTCTAATTGAACAGAGTGTTTAAGCTATGCTTAGTCGACTGTTTTCTTTTATCGTTCTGAGAGACTCACGGTTAATTTTTACTTTTTGTGAGATACATTTCTAAGATTATAAGTTTTCTATTACATTTGCTAGCGAGACCAACCAAAAGTCATTTTGTAGAGCGTGTTTCACAATAGAAAAATTGGATATTCAAATCAAGTCAGAACTTCTGGGCCATCATTTATATGTTAGAAATGTAATGAATTAGACATCAAACATATATATTCATACGATTTTATTCAGGATTTTTCTGTTGATCAACTTCTATGTGACAATTATGTACGATGTCCATTTTGTCAAAAGATATAGAGTCAAAAATTTAAACACTAGCGTATATAAAAAAACAGAATACCCCTTACCATTTGTCTGATTCAATCATTGGGAATAACAGATTCCTCGTCAACATCATTACTTGATTTAAAAACTATTTAATCACATCCTAATATTTAAATATGAGGAGTACGCCGTTTACGATACTTTCCACTAGAATTGATCTTGCTGACAAAGTCATCAGCATCCTGTCTGAATACAGACCATAAAATACTAGTTTTACTTTTCATGAGGCCACTTTGGTTGGAAAGAAGTAAACAAAAGAGTTGAAGTTGGAAAAAACATCAATTGTGTAGGAGAGAAGTCTTGGATTCTTCATACAAATGTAATTAAATTATTTTTGTTTTGATGTAAGTGGAGGAAGAACGCAAAACTCAATTGCCGTCACATTCAGGAGAAGTTGGAAGAAAGCTGGAAAAGAAGAAAAACAGCAAACTATAAAAATGCAGAGTGACGAGCATGGTAACTAAAAAATGCAAGAAAGAAAAAGAACAGAAATTACACAAGAAACTTATGATATACTTCACGCGTAAGTTTTTTCCATAATATCATACAATATGCAACTCACGGAGAACCTCTAAGATGTTCCATTGTTTTTTTTAACACAAACCAATTTTAGATTGTAGGTAATGTAAATTATACAATACTTTGAGATAGTCAATTTGTCTGCGTTGTCGGAACTATATTAGGAATATTTTCATATGTTAATCATGTTAGTTCATTTTAGTGGTCAAACACTGATCTTTTAATAATCCGAGGACCAATTCGAGCCGAAATTTTCACGATGACTAACAATTAGAGATATTTTCGTATTCTTTCGGGTTGATGAGGGTCTTCTCTTCATCCACACTCCACACCCTTTTATCGCGTCAATGGTAGCACCACAATAAATGTCAAAATTGATTCTGTCCATGGAACAGTACTAGAAATTTTTTTTCCTTTTGTGCTGTCAGATCATTAATCCATTTATCAGTCTCCCTTGAAAATCTCAGGTCGATAAATTATTGCAAGAAAAATTGATAATTTTGTAATGATTCCGTAAACTGAAAGTGTAGGATCTACAAACGGAAGTTGATTCATGTTGTCTATGTTTCACTCTCGTTGTTTGTAATACATTTTAACAATCAATGTCAGTCTCGAATGATTGCATTGTTTCTTTTGGTTATAAGACTACAGTGTGTATGACGAGATAACCACTTGCTGGTCTCAACGATGGCTTCGGTGGTGGAGTCCTGCAGGGTAATCCTACGTTGCCGTACCCTGCTATTAGGGTATTGCTTTAGAAAGTGTAAGGGAAACGTAGTGTATAGACTTCAACATTCCAGCATGGTTTAAGACTCAAATTTAGAGATTAGTAATGTACAAACGCGATAATATCTTGTTACGAAAACAAGTTCACGAAGAAGCGCTCTTTTCACACTAGAAAGTCCAGGTTTCATGGGAAAAACTACGACATATTTCACTTTTTTCTAGACTCAAAAATTAAAAATGTAAAATCGGTGAATAAGAAACTTTGTCTCTGAGCCTATAAGATGTTTTTAAAACTATTCTATGTCACGCGTTGCAATAGTTTTTTCACTTATGACACTTGTTGGTTATAGCAATCTGTTATCGAATTCATTCAGAATGAGTCCTATCTTGACGAACTTTTTCTTCGCTTTGATGTGCATTCTGTTCAATCCATAGTGAATCTATGGGAAGCGTACCATACTATTTTCTGTTGGTTGCTCAGTATTTAACAGAAAGCATTTTTGGGTCAACACAAGCTATGAACATGTTTACCGAATTCTTTAGATACTGTGGACACTTTAGGTACAAGTAAGGTATTTACGAGTGTCTAGTACGTTCAGTGGGAGAGACTAATACAAAACATTCGGGAGGATAAAAATTAAATCCTTTGAGCATCGGGATTTCAAAACGAGTCAAAATCGAGAACTTCATGCTATAAAAGCCCAAAGTTCTACGGTTTTAAAATCCAAAGTTGTATGGTGTAAGAAGTCAAAAACCCATGATCTAAAATTTCATTTATCGAAAATTAATCATAGCATGTTTGTCACAGACTGCGATACGGATAATAGACCTACTCGCAAGGTGAGAAGGTGAAATTTTCTTAACTCCGAAATTTTAAATTATTTCAAATTCCATAAGCATTTGAAATTCAATTAAAAACTCTAAAAAGTTTCATGATTGGAAAACGAACTAAACGCGCAAATGCCAAAAAAAAACGAAAAACCAACAAAAATCTCCTAACTTTCTGTGACATATTAAAAATTTTTTATGCTGGCGTCGAATATATTCTAGAGAGATACAGAAGTAAACTCTAAGGCCAAAAGGTTTTTTTATGGATTCATGTATTTGGCAAATTAAAGCAAAAAAAGCAGTCGTATACGATAGATATACGCTTTAAAAATGTGTTCTAGACAGATACGCACATGCGCAGACAGGCAAAATGATTTAATTACCGTTTCCAGCCCTTAACCTTGTAGTCCATTGAAAAAGACAATCAATGTTTAACCGGGGTATGGGCGGCGTGAATGCTGATATTTTCTTCTCTCACAGCCATATCCACACTCAAGTAACGAAAAACAAACACCTATAAAAATCATGAAACCTATCAAAGTATGCAAGGCAATGACAGAAAATATGTGGAGCTATTGGAGTGTTATGTAGAGTTTTAAGATTTAAGATTTAAATTCTCTGTAGTCCGAAAATTTCTCTGAGTTTCAAGTTTATGACCAGCGGGGAGCGATACACTAAGAGTCTATTTTACTCGCATTTGGTAATCGTCTCAGATGAATCCAGATGTATGATGCCGAAAAATTTTCTTAGTGAATGATAGATATGAAAATGAGGCACAAACGTTTCACTAATGTTTATAATTCTTTACGAAGTTTCTTGTTCAGTATTTATTAATAATAAATCAGGAATTTTCGAAAAAAGTTGAAAGTGGCATTTGTATCTGGGATGAATTTTGTGGTATCATTGATGTTGTGTAGGACTTTCATAAAGTTTCTTTTGATCGAATGCAGCATTTCTATTGGCTTTGATTGATCAGAATTTTGTGAAACACGATTATTGATGATTGTTGAAGTAATTATATTTAAAAGATAAGTGAATTCAAATGCCTCATTCACAATCCATAACAGATATTTCAACATTCTGCTCATTCAGCTCTTTGATGTACAATTAAAGCAGTTTCATCTTGCTGTACATTGTGATCTCGAAGGTATTGCACTAAAACATTTTTATTACTGCTGTGTTTTTTAGATAATATGTGGCTCAAAGACGATTCCAAGCGGTTTCAGTATCTTTTGAGTTTACATTTAGTGAACACTATTGCTTTTCTCATTCGTTTTATTATCATATGCGCTGATCTATCCTCAGCGAGCAGTGATGCAAAAGGTTATTTAGTACCTATATTACTTTTGGATTTAGGAGTATCTCTTATTATCTTGTTTTCAAATGTTCTCTATATCTTACTACGTTATGTTGGTCCAATTGTATTCGAATCTGATCGTAATAAGATGTTATGTTGTTCTCAATCATTTGCTTGGAGTTTGGCCACAATAACCTGTTTGCGATGTGATTGCCATCGAGAACATCCTCAAGCAGTTTTGCTTACTCGTTTTGGTACTTTAGTTGGATTTGAAATTTTACAATTTATCGCATTCGTTCTTGCCTGTGCATGTGCAAATAAATATGGACCATCTGGATTAGGCTATTCGATTGTGGCAGCTTTTTCGTTTGTACCCTCTATTTTTACATTAATTGTTGAATACCTTCATCATCATCGATTATGGTTTGATTATCGACCAGACTCATCCTTAGACAAGAAGCCAAAACAGTCTACATGCCATCGATGTTTCTTGCCTATGGCGATGCTGAACGATCAGCAAACAAGTCATTGGCAACATGCTCGTTGCCCGAAGAAAAATAATTGTGAATCTCGAAATCTCTACCATGTTCTTATGTATCATTCGGGAAATAGGTGCTATCCACCAGATAAGACACAAGACAATCAAATAGTTGTTGGTTTCCATCAAACAGATTATAAGGCAGCTTATTCTATCGCGGAAAATGGCTTTAGGCCTTCGAAATCAGGCATGCTTGGAGCAGGTGTCTATTTTGCAACATCACTTGATCATACTGAATTTAAAGCTAATCAATATGGCACTTATATTTGTGCAAAGGTCGATTTGGGTAGAACATACCGCACAAAAATAAGACATCCGGCATTACCAGAAAACTATGATACAGTTTATTTTGAGCATGAGCGTAGTGCAGATGAATTTTGTGTTCGAAACTTAGGACAAATCCGTTCATGGATAATTGCAATCGACCAAAATCCAAATGAGCGAGCACTGAAGAAAGTAGATACTGGACGATTGCCATCGGGTAATTTCGTGGAAGATCGTTTGGATGAGAGTGTGTACAAAGGATGTTTTTCTAGTTTGTAAGATGACTGAGGCTAATATGGAAAAAATAATTTATAATAAATTTAAAAACCATCATAACTATATCTACAACTATCCTAGAACAGGTAAATATCAAGTCATTCGATATGGTGAGACTCAATAAACAAACATACAGATAGAATAATCTCTGAAAATTTTTACTGCGAGTTTTTCTTTATCTATACAATGAAGACTCAATTAATAATTGAAAATAAGATACAAAGAAACTTTCATAAGACGTTATGTTTTCAAAATTGAATTCTTGGATTCAATAATACAAACAACATATACTGTGCGTACCAAAACGCGATTGCAACAGATTGTGGATATGGGTCTGTGTATGTGACTGTAAGTATTCTTTTCAACCGCATCCATATCCACACTCTGTTGATAGTGAGATGAGCATCGAAATCGAACCGGAAAATGAGTACACGATTGTTGTCTGATCACCACTAAAAAGCCATCAGAACGTGCTGTATCCTATCCTACTGTTGATTCTGCATCTTCTTCATAGAATTTCCCTCGACACAATATGTTTACTAGATACATAACGCAAACTACTGTATTCATTGACATACACCTAGAAAAGGCGAATAGTCAAAGATAATAAATCAATGTTATATTGAAAGAGTAAACAACTATATTTTTAAAGAAATTTCTCTACAAGACAAATCGACTAAGCATAAACACACTCATATAAGTATAATTTCCAGATTTCACGACCATTTTTCGATAGTCAAATATTGCAGTAGTAAAGTAATAGTCTTCATTGTCATAATAAGGTTTTGCGCAAATGGTGAAGGGAATAAAAAGGGGTGTACACTCCCCTTAGTCTTCAGTCCTTCGAGCAGAGCCTGATTATAACTTTGAGTTTACTAAAGAGTTTTGCATAAAAGTAGTTAGAATCCGCATGCAATAGAAACACTTACTAGTTTCAAAACTAACCATCAATTAGATGACATAAGTAAGCTGATATGTTCATCGAGTTCTTTAGAGCTTCATGTTCAATTCAAGAATAATATAAACTATCCATGGACCAAAGCTGATGTCGAATATCGTTCGGCTCTCATCAGTATAAGTGCAAGTGATGCATCATCATTTCAAACATAAAAATACGGTTTTATTAAACTCCTGTTGCGAGAAAAAAGGAAACGAAATGTGAAAACCGTTGAAAGTTCTTCAACGTTCAATGGGCACTGTGCAGATGCAAGTGCAAGGGAGTGAGACGGTCACTAACAAGAATGAGCAAACAATTAATACATGTGTTAATGAATTAGTTGTATTTACTATGTATGAAATTTGAAAAGCTGACAATCAGCTCAATTCGATCGTATTTTCAGATTGTAGGCAATAACAACAGTCAAAATTGGCCGTTGGGAAGTAGTCAAAGCATCGTATGAATATCGATACTGATAATGATGATTTTGACTAATACTAAGCTTTTACTCTACTAGTAGCTTCTCAACTGGTCGCTTTTATTTAAAAACTAATATATCTGCATATTTTTGAATACAGTATCTCGCGTCAAATGTATACCACTAATCATGTAGATAAAGGATAGTTTCGTTCTAAATTTAAGTTAATAGAATGCAACTATCGTCTTATTGCCTTCGTTTGTCGCGAAGCCATTTATTTATGACTGATCTATGGCGAATAATTTTCTTCGGACATCGTATTACAGCAGTGCGCCATTCCGCAAGTAATCGGTGAGTATTCGGTAGTGCGCACTGTTGATAGATGCGTGCAGCATATTCATAGTATTGCATAGCTTTTCCATAATGGTGCTGAGCATAAAAGACATTAGCTAAATTCATGTACGTGCGAGCTACATCAAGATCGTTCTCCAAAGCCAAATGACGCGTCATGCATAAGTCTTTCTGATAATATTTTATGGCCTGGCGATAGTGACCCTGCTTGAAGTATACATGACCGATATAGCTAAAACATGCAGCAATGCACCTATCGTCTTTGTCGCAAACCGTATGACGCAGTGCCAGAGCTCGTTTATGGTATTCTAGTGCCTGACAAGCATCGTAATGAACAGCACCCATATTGTCCAGAGTGCAAGCTAATATCCGTGCGTGTGCTGGTAGTGTTGAATTTGTCTGTAACCCGTACGCTATACAATAGTGTTTAAACGCCGATTGATAATCGCTCTGGAGTCGATAAGCTCGCCCGATGTGCATATGAATCCTAGCACAATACTGATCAGCAGCTTCGGACGATCTTTCAAGTAATGCTAGAAAATATCGGAGTGATTTGTTATATTCGCCCTTGTCGGCTAGCAATTTGCCAAAGACAAATTCGTCTAGACCAGATGAATCGATATCATCTGAGATGAGTCCAAAGGCACTATCAACACGAACGAATGGTCTTTGGGCGAGTAGTTTGACAACGAAACCATCATTGTCAATGCTAGTGACACGAAATGTTGTAGCCAAGTCGAACAGAACTTCTTGTTCATCAGGAAACTGACTCCATCGCCAGGTATCAACAAGCACAGGCATTTCTTCTTCTTTATCATCGATTTTGATTTCAAAGACAACAGATGAAACATGATCGCTTGATTCACCAGCAAATATCTGCGCTATTTGGCGATCATGAGTTGTTGATAGAAACCCGTTTGCCACCACCAATCGACCGACTTGTCCGTTCAAAGTCAACATTTGTTCTCGTGGCATCGATACACCACGAAAGACAGTCAATTTTTGGCGCTTCTGGTTCTGATAATCAGCAAGTAAACGACACAAATCCGCAATATAAGAACGAAATGTATACAATGTATCAATGACATCGTTTGTTCGTAGTGTGTGATTGATTAGTCGATATACAAATGTATCTTTTGTATACCATTCAACAGCCTGACTCGCTTCATATGTTGCCTCAAATTTGTCAATGGCTTGTAGCTGTCGACTGTTATTTGCATAGACTTCACGACACACCTCCAGCATATCTAACTTTGCTGCCAAGCGACTCGCAGCATTTGCTGTATATGACATTTGTATAATATGATGTTTGAATACCTGAAACCACCAGAATCGATCTGGATCATGTATCGTCAAATAGACGGCTTGTCGTTCACGAACTGCGCAGGTCAAATCGATCTCGATCAAACGACGATATTTATCTCTGGGCGAACGTATATATTCAAGAATGTGTTCGAAATCATCGCTCGTTACAGTTATTAACTTATGTAACTGTTGTAACCGTGCAGCTTCGATTGCCTGATCTTTATTATGAAGCAATAGAATTTGATCAATTTTATTCAAAGGATGCACTAACGTGAGGAGCTGATGTGCTGATTTTGAATAATCAAGTTTTATGACTAACCGAACACGTAATTGTGATGGCACAATCGATCGTATGTAGATAGTGCACACAAATGGATCAGTAAAGAAGCGCATGCCAGAATAGTGACTCGAGAGACTTTCTTTCAAATCATCTTGGATATCAATATACGGATCAAACCAGACGCACTTGAATGAGTCAGAAATTGACATTGAACCTTGTTTTAATAGATTTGTGTTCGTCTCTATGATTTGTCTATGGGAACTGATACAGCCCATAGCTAAGCGACGAAGTATCGAGTGAGTATTATCAGCAAGTGCAAAAGAAAAATGAAACACAATCGATAGAATGGCAGTATCTATCACACATAAAGTGTTTGCAAAAGACCGATAATCGTGAAAAACGAAAGTAAAATTATCTCGCTGCACGTGGAACAGAAAAAGAAAAAAATATATCATTGTTCTAGCACATGCATCAAATAAAGACTATATAAATAGACTAGCTGTGTGATTACAGAAGCAAAAAAACAAAATCGAATGATCCTGTTTCGTTCTCAATTGTCACCAAAATAAATCTAAAAAACTGACCAATTTCATGCATAGCACACAAAAAGATAGACGAAAAAATAAAAAGCTAATATAAATAACACACAGAACGTACAACTTTCTACTTTATGAATAATCTGCTCAGGTCGAGCGCTACGACTACTAGAAACAAGGTATGGTATGGGTATGATTGTGGGCCCTTCTTTCAAATTACACCTGCATCCATAAGAAAACAGAATAATCATATAAACCTCCTATTCTTACGAAAATGTGTTTTTTTTTTCATTGATAAATTCTACTCTGCAGAAAAAATGCTCGATATACTCAAAATGTCGTATGTACAAAAGATCTTATTCGAAAAAAGAAATTTAACAACATATCAAAACACAATATAATTGAAATTTAAAAGAACAAATAGTATAACTGATCTTAAGAGTTAGTGTCAGAGAAAATCAATAAATCTAATCAATCACAAATAGAGTAGCATGTCATAAATATCATGACATCAGGATATTTTGTAGGTGGCCATGAGTTTAATAACGACTGAAACTTTCAGCTTGATTTGATCATGTTTCTAAGACAATTATTCAAAAAACTGATCAAATTTATAATGATGACTATTTTCTGTTTTTGTATCATTTTTTGCAAAGTTTCTTTCGAAATTTCTTTAATTAAATATATAATGTATTAATATCCCAATCAGAGTCCTATGTTACCCTTTTAGTGACATTTTGTCAGTAAAATGTCACTCGACTGCGTTTTATGTAGAAACAACAGAATGTCTTGATATTTTAGCCAGTGATAGAGTTCACAAAGTTCTATGACCTGATACATTTAGTAACATTGACCCATGGGAAAAAATCAATGAGTTTCAATTGAAAAGAGCGTGATAAAGAGAAAACACACAGTCTACAACTTCAACTGCACACATTCGCATCCTAATTATTATTTCTGTTCATTAATTTTAAAAAAAATATTAATTATTGATTTTAAATTCACAATAGAAGAAATTATTCGACGAACAGAGTCTAAATTCTTTTACGAACTAGATTTCATTGTCTATTCTCTTGATGTTATTATGTAGCATTTAATTATGGAATTTGTATGATGGAAAATTTGATTTTACAATACAATGATTTTCTTTAAAAAAAATTATTTATTCCAAGAAAAACTTGAAATACTTTATTTAGTATTTTATACCAATTAATTTTCGATACATTCTATAGTAAATATTAATACATTCCAAAGAGAAATCCTTGGTATGTTAAAGAAAGAAAAATATTTGTTTAATTATGATCTTTGATAAAACTATTCTAAATTATTACATATGAAATGTTAATCAGATCAATAAAGGCGGGTAGTTTGTTTTCCTATTAATGTTTGTTATCGTTTAATATTTGAAATATGTTTCAAATTCTGTTTAAAATTATCCTTTCTCTATTTACTAATTGTTATTTATTCTGTCAGTCAATACCTATTCTATATCGAACAGATTTTTTTAAGTTAAATCATTCATATAAACATTTTCAAATGAAAAGAAATTTGTTAATCTACAATAATGTTGATGATCATATAAAAACAGAAACAACTCATATTATTACTATATCCATGGAGAAGCAAAATAGCATAATTAAATTAATAACTAAATTATTAATTATGTTCTTAATCATGGCAAGTTTTGTCGTATTCATCATAATTAGTATGGCTTTGATCTTCGTTTATATTAATTGTAATCGTCCATCACGAATACATAAACAAATTTCGATTGAATATCTTGATTCTAATGAAATGATAAATTATTTCGATGATACATTGACGTCATCTATATTAGAACGTTCTGATATTGAAAATATTTAACTAAATTATAGATAATTATTAGAAAAGAATGTACGATTAGCAAAAGTAACTAGATTAATATAATGGGTGCCCTTCCTTTATAGAATATTTATTTGTCATTTTCTATTAATTAAAAAAGAAAAAGTGAAATTAATTTTTCTAAGAACTATCTTTATCATCGTTTAAGTCGAACACATCATGCACACTCTCTTTCGCAGTCTCATAAAATTGTTTGATTTTTTTCATAGGTGAGGTACTAAAATTGTCATCGTTATTGTTTGTATCTTCACTTGAACTGCTTTCACTGTCACTGTCACTATCACTCGAACTTGATTCACTATCGTCTTCATCGGGTATTGTATTATCATTAATATTCGGCGGTGATAAAGTTGTTGTTGTTGTTGTTGTTGTTGTTGTTGTTATTATTGTTGTCGTTATTGTTGTTGCTTGTAAGGCTTCATTTGCTTCATTGTTTTCTTCTATAATTTCTTCAGAATATACTGATTTTGTTGATAATAATGTTGCTGCTTCCTCTTGTATTATCTCTGAAATAGAACGAAGAGGTGCATAAGTAGTTGTTGAGAGAATTTGTGGTTCAGGGAAAGAAGTTGTTGTAGGAATTTGTGGTTCAGGAGAAGAAGTTGTTGTAGGAATTTCGACATTTGGAGGAGATGTTGTAATAATTGGAGGAGGATTTGTAATTGTTATTGGAATAGAGGAAGTGGTTGTGGTAATAGGTGGAGAATTTGTTGTTGAACGTTTATGTTTAATTTTAACTTCTGTACCTATGATTTGAAATCGTTTTTTATTTTTTCTCTTTTGTGAATCCACACCAATTATTTTTTTAATTGGTTGTTCCTCTTCATCAAAATGTCTTATTTCTTCATTAATTTGGTATCGTGTAGATGAATGGAATCGTTGACGTGATTGTTTTTTTTGTGGTTTTTCAATAGGTTTAGGTGGTGTTTTCGATATGGGTTTTGGCGGTGTTTTTGATACAGGTTTAGGCGGTGTTTTCGATACAGGTTTAACTGTATCCGTAATAATTTCATTTGTACTATCGGATTTAATTGAACGAGAAGATATGGTTTGTTTTGGTAAACGTTTATCTTTTTTTGTTCGTGATTTTTTTGTTGAAATTTCTTTAGGTAATTCAGATGTTGTTGTTGTTGTTATGATTGTACTTGTTGGCGTTGTTATTGGTATGTTATTAATATCTTCATTATTATTCTCCTTACAAAATGAAAATGTAATAGGTAATGGTAAAAGACATATAGATTTTCGTCCTGTTGGTAGAAGACCATAGAGAACATAACTTGATGCACGACGACAATATTCCATAAATGGTGTTTCCTCAATATCATCAATATTAAGAATTTTTTCAATAGATTCTTCAACTTTTTTAATAATTTTTTCTTCTTTATGTTTTGATATTTTTTTTGATTCTGATAATTGTTTATTTTTTTTACTACGTTTACCAGCGTGACTGTCAAGAGTTGCATTTTTTATTTCATCAAGTTTACGTCGAATACGATAACTAAAAAACAAAAACAAAAAATGAAATTTTGAGAATCGGAAAAAAAAAAAAAAAACTTTGAACAAACCGATATTTCCATCCAACACTTCGTTCTTCTGGTGTTAATCGTGCTAATGCAGGATCAAGTCTTTCATGTATTGGTATATGTTCATCTGTTTTTTTAGCTAATTTTGCTAAGGCTTCAGCTGCTTCACGTTTTTGTGCTTCTTTCATTTTCGAAACACGATAACGATATTGCCAGCCAACAGTTTTTTTAGGAATTTCAACTAGACTTTCATCTAATGCAACTTTTGGACTTGTTGGAGTTGTTATTGTTTTTTTCTCTTGTTCACTTGTAAGTTTTTCCAAATCAAATGGAATTCCATTTTCTAATTTAATAAAAAAAAAAATAAAATAAAAGAAGAAAACCTTTTTTTCTCGGCATTTACCAGCTTGTTGTTTTTTTAATTTATCAAGTTTACGACGAATACGATATCGATATGCCCATCCAACATGTCGACCTTCTCCACTTATTTTACGTAATTCTGGATCAAGATGATCATATTCCCATTCAACGCATTCATCATCTTCTTCAGAAGGTTTAACAAGACTTGGTTGTTTTTGTTCAAGACGTGCTTTACGCTTTTCTTCTTCATCATCGATATATTCACCACGTCTTTTAGCTTCAAGCATTTTACTTATACGATATCGATAACGCCAACCAACATTAGGTTTACTTTCCTATAGAAAACAAAAAGAAAAAAAATAAATCATTTATGTTCTCAAAGAAAAAAAAATTTTTACTTCAACAGGTGGAGGTTGTTCTTGTTTTTCAGATGCAAACGGTTTATCTAGAACACGTTTACGTCTTCCACTTAATTCTTGTGGTGTTTTACGTTTAATTGCTTCTAGACCTAATTTTAAACGTTCTTGATCTTCACGAATATTTTCACGTAAAGAATCAATATAACGTGATACACGATAACGAAATTGCCAACCAACACGAGGTTTAAATAAACCACGATCATAGGAACGAACAATTTCGACTGGATCAGTTATTTCTTCATAAGATTTTTTTCGACGACGTTCATTTATTTTATTAATATCGTCATCATTATCAGTGTCTTCTTCATTATCATTGACTTTTTTTGAAGTAAATAATTGACGTTTAGGAACAAATTCTTGTGTAATCAACACAGAATTGGCAATATCTTGATTAGAGCTAAAGAATACATCATAATTTAACATTTTGTTATCTCATAGTTTCTATAGGTATTATTCTATAAAAGTTTATTTTATATCAAATAAAAACTTATTTGTTATTATTGTTTTTAAAAATAACAATCTAATAAATATGACAAGATTTTCTTTTTTTGCATATTCAATCAATCTATATCTGTCCGAGATGAATTTAAATTTTTTTCGAATACTTCAAGAATTATCTTTCTATACTATTAGAGAAAATCATAATTATACTGAAGTTAGATTGATTATATTTGTTTTCCTATTCAGCTTTGGGTCTGGAACAACACTGTATACATTATATTGCACTGAGTTTACTTTGACTTCCATCAAATGACAGTTGCTAAATGATAAAATCATTGACAGTTAACAGACCTAATCTAAAACTTTTCTTTGTATATTTGGAACGATTAAGTTTATATTTTTAGACGAATTATGGTTTCTAGCACTGCTGCAATTAACCAGAGACCAGAAAAAGTTAAGACATATAAGGAAATTATTATATATTAATGAAGCAATCTAATAGAAAATTAGTTCAATTCAACTGTTTTTACGTATTAAAACATATTAGACAAATTAATAAGTCATAAATTGAAAATAAAATTCATCTAATTTATAATGCAAACGAGTAGTTTTGATTATAATCATAATCTAATTAACTATTCGAATAATCAAGAAAATTAACGTTTGTCAAATATAAACAAATGATCTTGTCAATAGACAGTTGACTTGACATTAAGAATAAAAATCTAGAATAGTAGGCCTGTAGCTATGGGATTATTTCTAGAAAAAAATTACCACAGCAAATGTCATATAATGTGTCGCTAAAAGAAGTACAGTCGTAAGTCAATATAAACAATGATTTATGAAGATGAAGAAAAGCATCTACTTTATGTTTCCCTAAATGGACATCATCTGCAGTTATCACGATATCTGATGTAAACAGTAAAAATATAGTCTTGTAAAAATGTACATAGATTTCGTAATTTTCATGTTGACATTGATCTAATTAATTTCAATTTATATCTTAATATTCTTTTTTTTTTTTTTTCGAAAAAACAAAAAACGCAAAAAAAGTATTTAAATTATCAATAATACTTACATATCATTATTATAATTATCATTCAAATTTGATTCATCATTAGTATTGAATTCAAGAAGTTTACGTTTAGAAACTTTTGTATGAGTTGAAGAACTTATCTTCTTTTTATTATTTGATTGTGTTGAAGGTTTTCCTCCTCCTGCTATAGTTTTTCTAGTTTGACCAGTATGTTTCGTTTTTTGATCAGCTAAATAACGTGATATACGATAACGATAAGCCCAACCAACTTTTGGTTTATTTGAAATAGAATTTGTTTTTTTAATTTTTACGTTAGCTGTGTCTGTAGGTATCGTATGTTTAGCATTTTTGATAGATAATAATTGTCGTTTTGATATACTCATAGATGACAATGATAAATCATTGAAGGATACAATATTAAATTCTTTATCATTTAATTGATTAAAATAAAGATTAAATTCATAATCATCTATATTATTTGAATTTAAAAATAATGTTTCATCATTAATAGAAAGTAATTTTCGTGCTTGACGATGTTGTTCTTCATTTGCTGAAGAAAGAATTTGATCGTCTTCATGAGTATAATTATTTTCGAGTATATCATCAGATAGTTGAAACATATTTCTAACAAAATGATAAGCTCGATCGACAACTGAATTATTCTTTTCTTGATTATCAGTATTAACTGGTTCATTAACTTCTGTTTCTGTTGATTCTTCGATTACAGGTGGCGGCGGCGGCGGTGGTGGTAGTGGTGGTGGTGGTTTTTCACGTTTTGATTTTGTATTTGTTGATGATTGTGGAAGAGGTGGTGGAGATGCTGTTGATGAAGGAGGAGGAGGAGGAGGAGGAGGAAGAGAAACTGAAGCTGGAGGATGAGTAATTTTACTTTTTATTGGTGCTTCATTGATAGGTAATGATGATGATGATGACGATGGTGTTGGAGTGAGTGGTTTCACCTCACTCGGTTTATTAATAGGTTTTTTCTTTCGATTTGAAGTAGATTTTGTATTGTTTTTTTCAGGTTTAACTTTTTTAGTTTTTTGTTTATCAATTTTAGGCAAAGATTTTTTTGAAGTAACAATTTTTTTCTTTGCTTCTATTGTATCATTGTGTACTTTGGATGATGGTTTTGGTTTTTTTTCAGATTTTGTTTTCTTTGATTTTTTAGTATTTTTTGAAGATATTGAAATATTTGGATGACCGATACGAAGTAATGCTCGACATCGAACACGTTCATGATCATTAATAGCTACTAATTCTCGAGTTTTAGTAGCATGTTGAGTTGTATTTTTCTTTTTAATTTGTTTATGAATTTTTGGTTTTTTCTTTGGAGATTTAGACTTTTTAATTTTTGTTCGTTCTTCTTTTTTAACCACTTTTTGTTTAAGTAAATGACTATATGAACGAACTTTTTGACCAAGTTCAGTTGAAGTTTGTGGTTGAACATAAACTGTAGCACCATGTTTATGAACAGTTCTCGAAAGTTTTGGTGATGATTGTGCTTTTGAAGATGAAGAAATATGTTCAGATTTCTTCTCTCCAAGAGAAAAATTAAATCTACCAAAAAATAATAAACGACGAGACGTTGGACATGAATCAATATTAAACTAGAACATATTGAAAAAAATATATATATACAAGAAAAATAATTAATTAATTTTTTTTACTTGTGTTTGATCAATTGCTGGCAGTAGTATAAAGATAGCAAATGTGAAATAAAAAAGGGAAAGATCCATGTTTCGTTTAATGATTATTTATGTGTATACGTGTACACACGAATGTCTTTCCCTATATATGTAAAAAAAAAATAAGTTGTTGACTACTGCTGTTGCTGTCCTGGGTGTTGATAAATAGTAATGATGATCATATCTTTGATGTCTGTCTAATGCAACATCCACCCGTGTATGTAGGATGATTGGCAATATACAGAAGATATGCGGCTTCTATTATTTTCTATAGGTTCTTTCTATCCTTTTTGTGCTTTTTGCATATTCCTATTTTGTTAGCGGCATAGTATCTCCTCCCGTCTGTTGTGATACGTTTTAAGCACAAATATATCAAAGACAATATATACTATAAAAGTAATTGAATATTTCTAGTCAGTGTCAATCAAATAAGATCATCAATATAGTACCTTTTAATAAACAATAGAATATATCCTATTGTTTTGTTGCTTGACGAAGTAAAGATGGTGTGGAGACAAATTGTGTCTCCACTAGTAATTTGTAGGTTTAAGGAAGAAGAATATAGGAAAGATGAATTATGTTGTTATTCGATAAGAAACAAAGCTCATGCACTTTTCTTTCTTTTTTTTTTCCTTTTTGTTCTTTATGTATAATTATCAATATACTCTAACTCGCATATTGGATGAAACAGAAAAATCGACGAGCTATAAAAGACCTTGGATAGTAACCAAAAAAAGAACAGAACGATACCCTGTGGTTTCTTTTTCCTTCTTCTTCTTCTTTTCTAATACGAGAATATATACTAAACGCCAACAACAAAAAACAACAGCAATAGCGATTTACTTTCCTGATATCCGTCAACACTAGGCAGGAAGCTTGATATTATATCTGCAAACCGCATCAAGAAAACAGGCAAATGCACTTGATAATAAATGGATACAACTATTAACGTTTGTTTTATCTATACATTCACGTGTACAAAATTGTTTAAGTTCTTTTTTCCTCAAAAATAAATAAATTTTCTTGAAAAAACAAAAAAAAAATATGAAAATTGAGATAAATACATGGATAAATAGCTCAAGGTCTAATCTTTGATAAACGACATGATTATTTATTTGGCATCTCGCTTTTTGCAAAACTTTGCTATGATTTCTATCATTTTCTGCTTGAGAAAAACTTGTTAACGCAGCCCATCGGGGGCTAAAATGTGCGAATCACATGTGTTCTTTAGCCTCATTATACAAATACGAAGTATGTAAAGTGCAAAAATCTCGCGCAGACTATAGTTGTTTTCTAAGATAATCGATCACCAGAGAAGCAATCCATCTTATTTATTTTTACATTTCTAACAACGATGTTTTTCTCTTTTTCACCAGGGCTCTATTTTTGGTTTGCATTGTTGCTCTTTTCTCGGTTTTTTTCCTAATTTAATATTATTATTATTATTGTAACCATTGATCTAATTGGTAAATAAGTCTCTTGTCCGTATCCATTGTATACGCAGCAGATTTCAACATACTATTATATATCTCGCTAAGTTTATAAATACTTATATTGATTATTTTCTAAAGTTATTAGTTAATTAATTCACTTTTTTGTATGTTGATAATACGACTATGGCAAATTAATGTATTAGTATCTATCATTCTTGATATGTTAAATATAAATTTTTATCTTCACAAAAATCAAAAACTACACTATTTACAAGCATTTGCAAATGTTTTTCAACCATTCAAATTTTGAGGAAGATTTTAGAATGTTCTAGAATAGTCAAAGTCTTGCGAAGAGGAAGAACCGCAAAGTTTTGACTTAAAACTTATACTTACTATTAGTTCCTTTGAAAATTCGATTGCCAAAGGAATTATTTTTCAATCTTGTTTGTTAAATATTTTCCGACAACTTCATGTGTTATAGAGTTGCAAATTTCAGATGATTTGAATGTACTTTGTCTAACGTTAATTTTTTTTTAGAATAGACTTTAATACCCCAAAAAAAAAAAGAAATTGATTGTTACATATGGATTGTTTTAATCACTGTTAGATTTATTTAAAAAACAAAAAAAAGAAGAACGACTTATATATTAATCGAAAAGAACAAAACAATAATAATAAAATTAAACAGAACCAAAATCTTTCATCCATTGATCATATTTTTCAAGCATTTCTTTTGAAACTGATGATGAAATTTTTGAAATAGCATCTTCAAAATCTTTCATTATTGTTGGTGATTGAAGTTTTTCTTTTAAAACTTGTGCTTGTTCTTGAATTTGAGTCATACTTAAATTTTCTGTTACTCGACGCATTTGCATCATAGCTGCATCACTAAATAATGTTTTTTCAAAGAAAAAATAAAACATGAAAATTAACAAAAAATCATCTTATTAATTAATTGAACTTACCGACAAACACTCGTTATATCTGAACCAGAATATCCATCAAGTTTTTTAGCAATACTATCTAAATCAACATCCTTATTAAGTGAAACTTCTTTTAGATTTATTTCAAGTAATTGTTTTCGTGTTTCAGCATCTGGTAATGGAATATAAATACGTTTTTCTAAACGTCTTCGCATTGCATCATCAAGATCCCAAGGATGATTAGTTGCACCAAGTACCATTATCATCTTTGATAGATCATCATTTCCTATAAATAAACAAAAATACAAATTCAAAAAAAAAAAAAAAAAAACTAAAACAGATCATTACCGAGAGCACCAGATACACCATCCATTTGAATAAGTAATTCAGATTTAGCTCTTCGACTAGCTTCATGTTCATTTGATTGACCACGTGTAGAACATAGAGAATCAATTTCATCAATAAATACCGTTGATGGTGCATAACATTTAGCCAATTCAAAAAGTAAATGTACAAGTTTTTCACCTTCACCATGATATTTTGATGTTAAATTTGCAGCAGCAACATTAAAAAATGTTGTCTTACATTCCGTTGCTACTGCTTTAGCTAACATTGTTTTACCAGTACCAGGTGGACCAAATAATAGGATACCCTAATACATTGAAAACAAAAACAAAACAGTTTCTCTATGAAGAAATATGTTAACATACTTTCCATGGACGACGAATGCCTTTGAAAAAATCTGGCATATAACGTGGCAATACAACAGCTTCTTGTAGTAATTTCTTAGCCCCTGTACAACCAGCAACATCCACCCTTAAAATGAATGAAAATTAATTTTCAAGTAAATTTCAATCAATATTAGAATTCAACATTTCTCATTCCGGACTCTGATAGAACTCGTTTCGTTATTTTCGACTCCGAATCTAAAAATTTCCTATTAATTGCATCGAAAGTTAGTGACTTGTAGGCTATCGACGATATTGACTTCGAATATGACCTTGAGGAATCCTCTTAGGTTTTCATTTTTCGCCAAAAATGTTTTTTCATCCTTTGTAAACAAGACTATGAAGTTTATCAAAAACAAATTAAATGTCTAAAAAATATGTACTCAGGGGTGTTCCGACCGGGAAGTCCCCCCCCCCCCCCCGAATCTTGAGAAGTTTTCGATTTATCCCAGCGAGGTTCTAGCATTTTATTCGTTCCCTAATTCTCAAAACAATCTTGACGACCTCGAGACATATCTGTGTGTACATTATCAGTAGTTTATAAAACTCATTTATGAAGAGAAACGTTTGATATCGTGTTCATTTCTTCTGCTTTTTAATTTTAAATACAAAAATTTACATCAATCTATTAAATAAAATTATAAATATACTATACCATCGAACATTTGGATCTTTTTGAACAATATCACGTTCTAAACCTTCTACTAAATCTTTTTCTGCTGCTGTAGGTATATATTTTTTTTCCTATATATATAATAAAAAAGAAATATTTATTTTATCAAAAATAAAAAAATAAAAAAATAACTAACTCCATTATTTGCTTGATTATTACCACGTTTGTTATCAGGCTGTTTTTGTTTATTACCAGCAGCAGTTGATGGAGCATTTCTTCCTCTTTGATTATTATTTGCAGATCTGACATCACGAGCGATTCCTTGAGGACGTGCAGGTGCTGGTTGAAATCTATGTATAAAAAGATAAAATTTCTATCAAATAAATCTTACATCGTATGTCTTACGGTGCGACTCCTGGAGTTGGATTTCGATTATTAAAACCAGGATCACGTGTTGGACGTTCATCAACAGCTGCATTATAAAAAGGACTTCCAAAATTTAAATCATTCTTAATATCACCACCGACTGCTGCTCGTCCGCCAGCATTCGTATATTTTACTAATAAATTCTCATGAATTTCCTCAATCATGTGTTCATGTTCTACAGTTGATTGAAGTTCTCGTTCAAGTTCAACTATACACTATAGAAATAAAACAAACGAAAGAAAAATACTAAAAATTATAAAATTTATTAATAAACCTCATTGCCACGTTTTTTTTCCGTTGCATTTGATAATGTTTGACAATAACGTCGAAGTTTATCAATAGCTAAATTATAAAATGTTATACCTCGTTTATAATCACCATCTAAATAAAAACATGTATTGAACTTTATATTAGAGAGAATTTTTTATAAAAATAAATTTCATTTTACACATATAATATTCGCGAGCTCTTTTAGCTTCTTCTTCAAAATCCATTGAATTAATTGCTACAGACGCCATTTGAAAAGTAGGAGTAACAGATTTGAGTAATATCACTTTGTTACAAATATCGGTTGTCAAGAAAGAAAGAAAGATGATTGAATTGAGAATGGTTGGAAGAGAATAGCAAAAAATAAATAGACCAACCGATACGTATGTAAGGACATCTGGAGTATGAAACTTCTAATATTGTTCGCAAGAAAATGAAAAATTAGAAATTCGACATTAGAATTTCGAGAAATAATGAAATTAGAAAGGAAATAATAACTTAGTATTTTAACTATAGAGTTTTTCATTCTTAACATGCTTTGATTTTTAATACAATAAATAATGTTTTTCTACAAAATATAAATAAAAAAATAAGTCAAATTCTTTTATTTTAACATTATAGCCTTGAACTTCTGTGTTTTTCTTACTTCCGGTTTTTGTTACAATTTTATATCTGACATATAAATAAGATCAACATTTTTTCGTTTTCGTGTTGATTAAAGATTATGAATCTTAGTTTTCGACATAGGACAAAACAATGTGTATATAAAGTACATGTATCCGATATAAATACTTAGTCTTTCATCTTTATTTAAATCAAATAATCTTGATCTTATTCAATAAAAAACAACAATGACAGAAACATTGAATGAATCGAATAATATTCAATTAATTCATAAGAAATATTTCAATAATAGCACATCTTATTTATCCATGCAACCAAATTCTTTAAATGAATTAATTGAATTACTTCATCAAGCATTTTCAACAAATGATATTGATATTGATTATATTTATACAATTATGAATAATTATAAAGGTACAAAAACAGAATGGTTACCATATATTAAATTTCAATCAGATCGTTATACAAGAAATTTAGTTGATGCTGGTAATGGAAAATTTAATTTAATGATTTTATGTTGGGCTGAAAGTCAAGGATCATCAATACATGATCATACAAATTCACATTGTTTTTTAAAATGTTTACAAGGAACATTAATTGAAACACGATATGCTTGGCCAATAATTGAAAATGAAGAATCAATGAATATTCTTAGTCGTACTCAATTAACTGAAGGACAAGTTGCTTATATTAATGATTCAATTGGTTTACATCGTGTTGAAAATCCAAGTCATACAGAAGGAACAATTACATTACATCTTTATATACCACCATTTGATCATTGTAATGTATTTAATGAACGTACAAGTCGTATGAATAAAATAAAAATGACATTTCATTCGGTTCGTGGACAATTAACAAGAAATGAATAATTTTTATTTGAACATTCTCTTTTTTTTTGTTTTCTATAGTTTGATAAATATGCTTTTACGAAATGCTTTTGTTTAGAAATATTTAAACATTTAATAAAATCGAAAAATAATTAGTTGATGTTTGAATAACAATGGGTGATGAAGGTTTTCAGTTTTATCATCTCTGTAAAACGAATGAGCAAACTGTCTTGCATATATATAGAATATATCTGGGCTAGACTAACCTGAAAGAAACTCTGGATTATAAGTGTTCTCAGTAGAGTTATCATAGATTTGCTGTTAAACTTTTTTTATCATCGGATAGAATATTGACAAGAAAAATCGAACAATAGATTATTGACTTAAAATTTTCTATATACTATGCTAAAGATCAATGGAAATCACTCGAAATCATAGAAAATTTTCAATAGTAAGATTAAAATTAAAGTCTTGATTTCTACGCATTTTTAATAGTTCATGTTGATTCTCAATGAATAGATAAAAACTGATTTCAAGTGATAGAAATCACCAGAAATCGGTTTGTTGCTCTTTGATTAGAATAAAAGCCTTGCAAAGTCAAACTTTTTGACTACGATTTCGAAAAATATTTTTTGACTAACATGTATATCAGGCCAGGCCGAGTTTTAAGATTTTAGCCTGGCCTGCTCCAGGCCGGATTAGATTCAGTCTGGCCTGCAGGCCAGGCCAGGCCAGGCCAACGTTTGTGGCCTGAATGACATGTAGTCAAATTTTTCGTGCATTGACCCATTCTGATTGGAAGTGGCATTGCAGATTTAAAGTACTTTGATAAAGTAATTAGAGTTGAATTTTAATTTTAAAATTCCTAATAAATTTTAAAATGACATGCTTTGATTTTAAGACAAACGTCTGTTGCATGCCTCGATTCCCGATATTTTATACGAGTCTTTTCGTAAGCAGAATTGTGAATGTATCGCCTCACTGTGTCCTGCGATGAATGACAATAATGATCATTAGTGATATCCAATTGTCACATCCATTCTATTTCAGTATTAACTATAAAGATTCAAAGTGGCACCTAACTCTGAGAGTTTAAGTCAACTCAAAAGGCTATATATTCTCTTTAGGATAGATGATTCTTTTAAACTAATTTGCTTGTTTTCGCATTTTTATGCTGACTTATGATTAAGTTAGAATGTGTCTCAATAGGGAAGGATAATGTATTCTTATGAAAAATGAAACTGACTAATAATAAAATCCAACGGGCATCGTTCAGCTAACGAAGTCAAACAGCAAACATTTTTGACCTGGATTAATACTCTTTGCTGTTTTTCAACTTTTATGTTATATTTATCACAGTATACGTTTTTCACTGTTATGGAGCAGCCCTGATGAAAGTAGAACGGCTTTGAAGGAATAATTCTCTGAATACCCAAGACTATTTTTTCTCAGCAGTGTATCATTTGATTTTCTATTTCTTGGAAAAGTTCGCAATTTCATCGTCTTAATTGAGGAGAAATATGTGACCACGACGAGGGTGAAATAAAAAAAAAAAAGTCTGATGCATATTGTACAATTTTATCCATGAAAGTAGCAAAGTATTTGATAAATTTGTTCTGGTCTCTCAAAAGCCTGCAGGCCAGGCCAGGCTGAAAAAAACTGGCCTGTTGGCAGCTCTGATGTATACTTTTTTGAGTGCTATTTTTTTAATGAGAATGTCTCTCTGATGTTTTTTTCCTTGTATTTAAAAAAGAAGTGAAAAAATGATTTTGACTTAGATTTAACAATATCGTGTAAAAGACTTTCTGATGAAATAAATTAGTAAATTATGTTTGCATTTTGGGAATTCCTTGTATTAAATATCATGGTCAATGAATACATTTATATAAATACATTTGAATATTCTATTTTTTACAATTCTAACAAAAGTTTTTTTTTTTTTTTTTTTCTTGAATCATTGATACTCTTTTACTTACGAGAAAAAAAAATCATTTCTTTATATCCCAAAAAAATAATAATAATAATCTATACAAAAAAAAAAAGATCACCAGAAGGATTCATACTTAAGAGATTCTTTTATCGAAAAATAATATTCTAATGTGATATAAAATCCATATCATTATCTGTTGATGATCTATGTTGACCGGTAGTCGTTTTTTTTCCTTCAAGACGTGCTGAACGTATTCGTTGTCCTTTATATTCAGATGTTTGTGTTACTATTGTTGAACTACCATTGGTCGGTATGAATCGTTTTGAATTATTTGTAACTGTAGCTACAGCTGCATCAATTGATTTTGGTAATAAAATATTTTGTTGATCATTATCATTATGATGTCCTTTACGACGATGTCTACCATCTTTTTTCATATCGTGATTATTTAATGTTATATTTCCTATTGATCGTGTTTGTTTTGTTCCACCATAATATGGATGTGTATCATAAATCGGTGATGTTTGTAATTGTATTTCATATTTTTGATCAGTTTCAATAAAATTTTGTGTTAATATTTGATTTTTTGTTGCTTTTGTTGTTGTTGTTGTTGTTGATGATGATGTAAATTCAATTTCAGGATCTTCAATATCAGGTGCTGATGGTAAATAAACAAGTTGATCATTAATATCATCATCATCACTTGATACTAATGCTTCAATACGTTGTTCTGTAACAACATCTATTTCAATATCATCATTATTTATTTTTTTAATATTTCCATTCATATCTAAACGTTGTCGTTTATTTGGTGAATTTGTATAATCAGAACTATTTAAACTACGATCTTCATCTTTAATATCAAATTCTGATTCACGTTCATGATATTCAACATTTTCTTCAAGTTCACGAAAATCTGGTGCAAATGCTGACCAATTTTCAACTTGAGAATGTGACCATATTGATACAACACCACTTGATATACTTGCTATAATTGGACGTACAGGATGCCAACATACATCAGCTAATGTTTCACCTTTTGTACCATGTAAAATTTTAACTAAATTACCAGATATTGTTTCCCATATATATAATGAATGTTGACGAGATGATGCACCACATATATATTCACCATCACCTGACCAACAACATTTTCGCCATAGAGATTTATTAACTAAATCTTGAAGTTTTTGTTTAGGTTCAAGATCACGAACAACACCACATGATAACATTTCAGTATAACTATAAATTCGAATTATTCGATCACTTGTATTAATTAGACAATATTGACCTAAGTGAAAACAAAAAGCAAAAATCGTTGGATTAGTTTCTAATTGATAATAATAGAAATGTTCGGCACTAGCCGGATTTTATGAGTCCAGAACTCACGAACGGACATAGATGTAGATTTGAGTTTCAGTTCAATATATATCTACTAACACACCCATATTTGAATACTCAAGGAAGAGATTATACATTATACATTTATGATCTCTCGTAGCATGTCTCTATGTGGACGATAGTATTCGGTATGGTTCAAATTTTTTTTTTTTATCTGAGTCGGTTCGGATATTCACAGTTGAGATAACACAATTGTATAATAGATGTTTTTCTTATGTACACAATCCGGGATGTTTATATCATTGTTATCCAATTTTGATAAAGAAAAGTCAGCAAGGTAGAAGAAAAGATCGTGCAATACATGACTTCTTTCTCTACTAGGCTTTTTCACGCTCTCTTACAAAATTTCTAAATGAAAAAAAAAAACATTCAAAATATCTTTTATATCTGCAAAATGTACAGATTGTAGATCCACGCTACAATCAAAAATTTTGTTTGAAAGACTACAATTGATTTATTACCTAAATTTCTAGAAATTGTTGAGTTCGGTGAGTGAAGTTAGACTTTTGAAAAGCTTCAGAAGTTTCTATAACTCACAGAATTGGAACTCGTCTGAAGAGCATTTCACACTTTTCTAACCCTGAAAATTGTCTGTTCTTTCGATGTCGATTTTTGTTAGCTCTAAAAAGAGATTTAAAGTATTGCATTCTTTCGTGTTTTTCTAACAGTCAACTGTTGAAAGAGAAAAATCGAAATTTATCTTCGTAACACTTCATCCGATTACGATGAAACATTTTTGGTAGATTTTACAATATTTGTATCAATCGAAAAGTATCCTCACTTGTCAAAAGCTCAATATTTTTCGAAGAAAAAAAAAATCAACATCTCAATTTTGTCAAAGTTATCACATAAAAAACTTTAGTAAAAGCAGAAATAATTCGAAGAACTATTCAAACAATTCCATTTGTAGGAACACGAACTTTCCTATAGTAATGCGTATTAAAACATTTTCTATAATGTAGAACTTCGACTTCGATTATTATCGTCTTATGACATAATCAAATCTTCGCGAGAGTCTAGCACAGTGACGTATCCAGGATTTTTCAGTATGCTGAATCTTGACTTCCGAGTGTGGGACCCAGATGAAACTCATGGAGGGTGATGCTGGGTCCAAATGATGACATTTTATCAAAATAAATTTGCACTCGGAGTTTGCGAAAAAAATTTGCATTTTCCTGATCCCCCTCCTAGGATTTTTTGCTGTTAGTAGCATCTTAATTTTTAGAATTTCATAGGAAGCTATACCGAATTTCATCGACAAATTTCAAATTTCGTCTAAAAATATGTAATCGTTCAAGAGTTATAACTTTTTGAATTTTTGCCACATGTGGAAACAATTTTTTCGAAATTTCAAAACATCATAACTCTTGAACGGTTGCACATTTTTAGACGAAATTTAAAATCTGTCAATGGAATTCGGTATAGCTTCCTATGAAATTCTAAAATCCAAGATAATACTAACAGTAAAAAATCCTAGGAGGGGGGATCAGGAAAATGCTAATTTTTTTCGCAAACTCCGAGTGCAATTTTTTTTTGATAAAATTCCATCATTTGAACTCAACATCACCCTCTATGAGTTTCATTCGGGTCCCATGCTCAAAAGTCAAGATTCAGCATACTGAAAAATCCTGGATACGTCACTGGTCTAGCATGAGTTTTATAACTACATTTCCTACTTTTGAGTTCATATTCTGGACATATAGAATTCTTTATATATATATATATATATAATCTTACCACGACGAGGTATTTCAATATGTCTTAAAACTGTATTTGCATTGGTACCAGTTGTAATTCGAAATGATGAAATAGTTTTTAAATCCGGAAATGTTTTAACAACAATTAAACCACGATTATTACCTAATATAATATGTTCACCTTTTCTATCAAATGTTGATATTATATCATTTGATTCATCATCAATGGTAACTATTGTATGTTTACCATTATTATCAATTAATACTGGTGGATGTTTCATTGGACATATAAGTAAATAAAATGAATTACGTGGATGAAATTGAACTTTAAGTATTGGTGATTGTATACATGATATACGTGTATGACAACGACCTGTTGCTGTATACCAAATACATACAGTATTATCTGTTGATGATGTTGCAATTAAATCCGATTTTTTTGACCATGATATAGAATATATAGGTGACCAATCTGCACACATTATTTTTGCTATACCACGTGTTAAAAAATCCCATATAACAAGACGACCATCAGAACAGCCAACAGCTAACATTGAACCTTTTTTTTTTATAAAACAAAAAGAAATGAATAAAAAATTTTATATTTAGAATTTTTTTTGTTTTTGTGTTTGAAATAAATAATTACCAATTTTATTAAAAGCACAACAAACAGCCATCGATGCACAATCAAGTGTGCCATCGAATTCTTCAGGATAATTTTGTTGAAATGTTGAAAGTAATTCAATATTCATTTCGACGTCTAAAATAAAATTTTTATTTCGAAATTAATACAAGAAATAAATAACTATTTGATATAATATATTCTTTTTTGTATGTGTCTATAAACTAAATACATTAGCATATCTATATGAATATATTTAATAAGATAATAATCAATACATACATTATTTATTTGTAAAACATAGTTTGGAATGATTGTTTATATCTAAATCAAAACAAAAAAAAAACAGTAAATATTTCAAAATTCAATGAATTATAAAGTTGAGTTTGTTTTAGTTAACTTTTATATCTTAAATTAGTGATTGTCTCAGATCGAATTCAGAAAAAAGACATTAAGGACAGTTATTATTATCAAGAAAGAAATAATAAAAATAATTGTATTACAAGAGAATTTTCATGAAATAATCTTAATTATTAAACTTCACAAAAAAAAATAATCATCATCATATTTTAGATTATATTTAGCTAAAATGAATATTAAATATATTTTTATTGCTTTTGATTCTATAAAAACCTCAACAAAATAACAAAAAAAAAAACAACAATTTGATGATAAATCTAATTCGATAAAGACTTTATCTTCACAGTTTTTTTTTTGTGTCTTAACTTATGTTCTTATCTAAAACTAAACAAATAAATAAAAATAATTTTTTTTGTTTCGATAGAAAATAATAAACTAGTCCATATTGAATAGAAAATTAAACTATATAAAGAACTTTTTATTTAAAATAAATGAACATTTTTTTTTTAATTTTCATATAAAGACGACCGACAAGTAGAGACAGACAGACAAATAATTCGAATTTCATATATGATTTGTTTGTAAAATAAACGAATGAAAATTTTATTACTCAGTATATACAGATGGCGTTTTCGTTGCAACAAAAAAAAGAAAAAAAACATTTCACGATCATGATAAAAATAATTTATTATATAACGCATATTTCTTATTTTTCGAGCATAGGATAATCATCGTCATGATGTCATTTCATATCATGACGAAGCAAATCTTAATTTAGATACATATATATATAATATGTTGAAGTATTTTTTTCAAATATCTTTCGAAAAGATTTATCATCAACATCAATAATAGAAGAAAGTAATTTGTACATATTTGAAAATAATATTTGTTAAATTGAATGAATTTATTCTAGATTGTAATTCATTATCAAAATATAAAATGAATTTAAATCATCTCTCTCCAATGGCTTTTAAAGTCACTCAACATCATGATACAGAACCACCATATTCTAGTCCATTAAATAGTAACAAACAACGTGGTTACTATACATGTATTGTTTGTAATACACCAGTATTCAGGTTTCTGAATAGATAACAAAGAAATTATATTTTTTACTTATTTCTTTTCGAAATTTAGTTCGGAACATAAATACGATAGTGGAACTGGTTGGCCCAGTTTCTATTCTCCATATCAATCAGCTAATATTGGTTCAAAACAAGATTATAGTTTAATGTATCCTCGAACTGAAGTTCATTGTGCGAAGGTATGTGAAGAAAAAATTGAAAAAAAAAAAAATCAAAATTTTCTTTGTTTTCTATAAAGTGTAATGCACATTTTGGTCATGTATTTAATGATGGGCCTATGCCAACCGGTCTTCGTTATTGTATAAATGGTGCAGCATTAAATTTTATTCCGCAATAATTTTATTTATTTATTTATTTTATTAAAATAAATGAATCTCTTTTTTTCTCTTTTGTTTTATTCTATTTGCATTGGATCATAAGATAGAGCACATGCTGTAAAATGATTTATAGGTATTGGATAACAGTTAAAATTATTTTGAGATGATATTATTTGATAATTTACTTCAGGTATATTATCAATCATTAATTGTAGATTGTTTAAATGTTTTGTTTGAATAATTTGATCATTTGTTTTTCGTGGATAACAATCGTAATTCCCTTGACTAAAAGAAGGGTCGTTCTTAATTTCACGTATATATCTCATACCTTTAGGATGAGAATTTCTGATAACATGACGATCAATTTGTTGATTATTATCAAAATTCATATGTTGAACTGTTGGTTCGTATGCATAATGATGATTATAATAAGCATTACCAAAACGATCATAGTCGATAGCTTCGTTTATTTTAATAGCCATTGATGAAGGAATATTTTCATCGATTAAAACATTTTCAATTGGATAATCAATTGCATAATTGAAAATCTTATTTTGTGATTGAAATGGTACTAAACGAGGTACAAAAGATGATCGATTTAGTCGATTAGACAAGAAAGGTCTATTAAAACCATTTGATGAATTTTGTAATCGTTGATTTAAACGTGGATTTAAACCTCGAGGAAAATCGACAAGTGTTGAATTACGACTGATTTCAATTGGTCGTCGATTTCGATTTATACCAGCCAAAAAATGATTACGCATACGTGATTGAAGAATTTGATTTGTTGAAGGCATTGGTAATTGTTGAGGAGAAAGATTATTAGTAGGTAACTGTGGCGTTATATTTTGTGGTTGACGAGAAGCACGATCTTCAGATTGAGATTGTAATGGTAAACGTTCTTGTGTAGTAGGATTTGTAATTGAAATATCATTATTATTTACTGAAGGATTTACATTCCTATTCATCTTATTATTACGTGATGAATCCGATTGAAAATCATTTGATTCCTTTCTCAATTCAGAATTTCGAACATTCAATGAAGATGTTGAAGAATATTCATCTGCTGATATTACTTCTCTTTGCTTAAAAGGAAAAATATGTAAAAAATAATTTACTCAGTATAAATAATATTACTGGTCGTCTAAAATTTGTTTGTAATGGTCGATTATTATAGGTTACGCTTCCGATTTCATCATTACTATCATTTAGATCTTCATTCTTGAAAAATAATAGTAGTTATTAAATGAATTGAAGTTATCTTACTTGACGATAAGGTAACCCTGTGTTAGTATTTTCTATGTTTTCATCATCGACATTCTCAATTGAATTAGATGATCTATTTTGAGGACAAAAAAATTATTTTTTTTTTTAATGTATTACTTACGGACGGTTTCTTTTGAATGTATTTTTTAAACGTCGAAAAAATCCACTCATATTTTCCTATAATAAGGTTATTCACAATTCATAGTAATAGTCATGAATGAAAAACAAATTATTTATGGTAATCAGAATAAACAAAATAGAATATGTTTATTTATCATTATGACATGCAAATCGTTCGTCCGTAGCCAATAGTATATGTAGAAAAGCAAAAAAAAAAAAAGAAATGGGAATGATGTATAGATTTGTTAGTTATTTATATACCCTGAGGCACTTATGTTATGATAACGACTCAAAAAAAAACGGTGTTTTTTCACTACTCACTCTCAGGTGTTGTTCATCATTCATATGAGATTAAAAAACTTCGGAAAATTATTTTGTTATTGAACTTCATAAATTATTGATTACTTAAAAAACTTTCTTTTTTTCTTGTGTATTGTTCCATTTCTGGAAAAAAGATGAATTATTAAATCGATAAATTTCGAACAAAAACTTTTAAAAATAATCAAATATTTTACCTAAGAACAGAAAAGATACGTAATAGAAATGTGTAATCGATCATTGCTACTAATAATATTAATATCATTCGAAATTTTCATTAAAAAAAAAGCTAGATAAATACAAGATAGTAACATAAAGAATGTTCACTACAAATTTTCTAGCAAAACCAGTTCTCTAGTTTGTTTTCTTTTTCATCTATAACTTATTTATAAAATTTTCTTTCGTCACACCTAATGATTAAGCAAAAAGCTCTGTACAACGTTCTTTTTTTTTTCCTGATTGAACTACATTAGATTTATGAAAAGATCTTCATGACAATGATAATATTTAATAAATATTCTAGAATTATATTCAACAATAATAACAAAGATATATTCTAATCTATGCATTTAATTTGTTGCCGTCCATTATTTCTTCATCATCTAAAACAATATGTATGGACAATAAAACCTTACTTTCGTACATTATCTGATACATATACATCTCATGATCAATTTAAATTAGATGAAGAAGATTCTATTCAAACAAAATCATTTGTTAATGATTTATTGATGCAATCTATTCAATCATGTTCATCGTTATCAACATTATTTCCACTTGTTCGTGCTAATTTACCTCAACATCGAGCTAAACATATAGCAGCAGCATTACTTCGTGCATGTAATATAGTACGTTCATGTGCTTATTTTCATCCAATAAATATGGAAAATTATCGTAAAAAACTTTTAAATCATCCTATATTTGATCTTCTATGTCATTTATGTGAACATCGTTTACTTGAATTAAATTTTGAAGATCATGTTAATATAATGTCATCATTAGTTAAATTAGATATACGTATGTCATCAAGTGAAAGTCCATTTCTACGTCATTTATTTACAGCATTAGCACAAACTGAATATATAGAAAAATTTGATTTAAATTTATTAAATCGTTTTCTTATTGCATTAGTTAAAAAATCTAATCGACATTTACGTAAGTTATTAATGACGTTTTTTTTTCTTCTTATTCTTTTTAAAATATTTGAAAAATTAGAACAAATAAAAAAAAAAGAAATATTAATATAGATATTTGTAAAAATGAATTAAAATAAAGTATTCTAATCAATCAAAGATTGTTACATATTTAATAGAAGATGCAAGTCGACTGAACATATGTATCAAAGCTTCTGACAGTACTAATTTGAGTACATATCTAGCAGGGCTCGAAACGGGCCACTTTTTTATGGTTCGGGCCGGCCCAATGCGGCCCAAAACTAATTCAAGCCCGCCCGGCCCGGCCCATCAAATTACTAGGCCCACCCTGCCCGGCCCATCATATTATTAGGCCCGCCCGGCCCGGCCACGACCTGGCCCGACGCTAAAGAAAATGTTATTTAAATAAATGCCTTTTTTTTGTAAAAACCGATCTGTAAAGGTAGTGTGATAGTTTGAAAATGTTTNATACAAACGCAAATCCATTCAAAAATAACTCTTCTTACCCAATTTTCCAAGCTAAACACGAATCTGAACTCAATTCCTGTGATTTCTAAAGATATAATATCACTCTGAGAGTAGAGTCAGTGGTCACCAGATAAGATCGCATAGAGTATGGTCCATGCCAACTTAGCACGTCCGTATTTTCTCCTTGCAATTTAGTGATAAAAAACACAGTGAATATACCTTTTCACTTTTTGAAGTACACATAACACTCGGATTTAAATTCGAGGTTTTCGCATTTATTTAATCACTATTTTGAAGAAACTATCAAATGAAATAAATTATGTTGCGATCAAATTTGATTGCGCCCGTTAGCGTCATCTCTGTATATCAGTAACTAAGCTAAAGAATGAGTAACCAATAAAATAAATGTAGAAATTTTTGTGTCATCGTATCAATTTATTTCTTTTTGATTATGAAAATGAAAAATTGTTTGATGTATATTATTCATATTAAATTTAATCTCAACTTTTGAATAAATTTCTCGCATGCAAAAAGTCTCTTGAAAAATAACTCGTGATTATTTTATTTAGCTTGTTAAATATCATATTATCATTCTCATTAACCTCGATAAAAATGAAACTTTAAATAATGTTACAGTTTTTCACATTCTAACCTTTTAGATTCTTATTTTGCATTAGATTGATCAATTGATTTGTTTTATTTCATGTGATGTAATTATCAAAATCTTTCAAATTGTGATATGTTAAATGATTGAATGTCTATGAATGAATTTTTAATTAAAACCTTTCTATAGACTTGCCAACATTTTATAAGTACTTATTCTCACTCAAAAAACTGAACTGACGAGGCTATTTTGCTACGTGATCTTTCATTGTTGATATATGTCGTACATCATTATAAGGTCCTTCTCCGATTCGAAAAAATTTAAAATCTTTCAAGTTTATGAATCGTTTTATTTGAATTACGAGCATCGTAATGATGTTTTCAACAAAATATTGTAGTTCTCCTAAAATCATCCTAGTATGTCTACTTTTACAATGCACTAGATCTATCAATAATCTAAATTGTTCAAGATTTCGATTCAAAAGTTGATTCTGAAAGAAATCACAGGATTTTGTTGACAAACCTGTTAATATAGTCATAACTGAGTGTAGAAAAACTAAAATACACGAATCATTTTCGAAGTACTCTATGATTAATAGAACCTGTCTACTGAGATAAAATTCATCTCAAAAACAACTTATCACGTTGCGATGTCTTCTTAATGATTGCTGTTCATATGAATAATCTTAATTTTCATGGTAAAAATTAAATTTTATCATTTATAATCAGAAGTAGTTAATAATATACAAAAATAAATTAAAATTGAACAATTATCTTAAATAAAGTTTCCTATCAGTTTGACAATTTTTACAATAAGAACAATTATTTCTTGTACACATAATTTAATTTTGATTTCAGATTAAGATGACATCTCAAATATGTTGTTATATATTTGAAAATCATCATGGTCTTATATTTAATCCTGATTCTATTCGTATTCTTCGTGAAAAATATCGAATTATTGGTTGTTTAACAGGAAATTTACCAGAATATCCTCGTCAAAATAATGAACTTGGTTTACCACTTGAATTATCACATGAAGAATGTTGTATATTAGCTGATCAAGAAATTATTTCAATGTATGAAATAATTTTACCATTAAATGATTCTGAACAAGATCATCTTCAATATCTGACTGAACTTGATATTGAATTTGAAAAACAAAAAATACAAAATGGACATGAAAAAATAAATGAAATTTTAATTAATCGTGAATCAATTTTACAGAAAAAAATTCAATCATTCAATGAAAATAATTTAGAAAATGATAAATTTATTTTATCTTTACTTAAAACAAATAATGCATGGCAAAATTGTTCAAAAACATTAGAAGAAGATGAACGAATTTTTTTATTAAATATAATTAAACAACGTCTTAAACAATTTACATTTGAATATATGTTTATAAAACTTCCTATTGAATCAAAACGAACAAATTTACAAATACGTTTAATTACTAGTAAAGAACTTAAACAAAATTTAAAATTAATTGAACAATTACGTTGTGATGTTTTTGCTGATTTATATTTAAATAAAAATAAAAATTATTGGATATCAAATGGACAAAAATTTGGTGGTGATTATCTTATTTATTTCGATGATCCATCACGATGTCATTCAACATTTATAGTAACATGTGTTTTAAGAAATGAAATTGAACGTAATTCTACTATTATTCCATTAACACATCTTATTGCTCGATGTCGTGTTGCTGTTAATGTGAATAAAATATGTGTTTTAGCTAGTAGAAAATCTCCTACATCATCTGATATTGAATATTTAACGATTAATTGGAACGGATTCTAATTCAATAAAAAGTCTTTCTCTTGTTTGAATGTACTACAAGTTGTTTCAGAGTTACCATGACGGATCAAAAACAAAACGATGGCTAAAGATTTAATAGAAATCTCTTTTTTTTTTTTTGAGCGTTTCATTGACGTTCTGATCTAATTACTGCTAAATCTGATGAATCTAATATTTTTTTTTGGATGATTTCCGTGCTGTATGACGTTGCAAAATGTTACAGAATTTTAATTTTCTTACATTGTAACATCTGCATTATCTTCTTCAACAAACTCTTTGAATATCTCACTGGTCAAGATTCTCAAAATAAACATTTTGTTGATATTTTTTCTTTTGGTCAAATCGATGCTATTCTTTCTAAATATTAGATAATTTCTTAATAAACCTCACACCCTCGATTAAAAAACTTTAATCTCTGTCAGAGATGTCCATCGCAGCTGAAAACCTGCCGCTGCCGCGATGGTTTTCAAAAAAAATTTTCGAATTTCACTGCTGTGACCGTATTGGACCAGAAATATTGGTACTAGTCCATCAGATTCATTCAGTCTCAGGGTGTTTCATTTGTAAACAATGAAATTCTATCAAATTCATGCAGTTTTTCAATGTCCTCGAAAAAAAATGCTGCCACTGCCGCGCCGCTGCCGCGATGGCTTTTAGAAAAACTGCCGCCGCCGCGCCGCTGCCGCTGCCGCGATGACTTTTAAAAAAACCTGCCAACGCGGCAGCGCCGCGATGGACATCTCTGATCTCTGTTCGTTACGAAATTTCATCCTTTTTCTCAAAAATAAAAGTCATCAGATATCATCATTAGCATAACACGAGCTACATTTTGACAAGTAAAACTTCTTTAAAATAATTCGTCTGTAATCTAATATGTCTATTTTGCGAGAAATAATAAACAATGTTCATTTAAACTCTTTTTTCATTTCTCTTTTTTAATATCACATTTGAAACAATGTTAGAAACAACTTTCAAAAATTGAAAACATCTTTCATGAAATTTGAAATTATCTATCATCTTATGTAGTATCTTACGATATTTCGATTGTGATATTTGAAAAGAAAAATGATCAATGATAGAGAATTTAAATAAGCATTGTCTGCTGTTTCTCATAAAATAGTACAAACTTTCGATTTTCTTTAGGACTACTCTAAAAAAAAAACAAATAACTTAGTTTAAAAGATCATTCAAAACCAAATTTGTTCAGTATTATATTTATATCTATGAATATGGACAACATAAAATATTTAATAGTTTAGAAATATTGTGATTATAGTTATATTCGATAATGCTTTTAGATTTTTAACTATTAGTGTTGTTTTAGTTGCGAAAATTAGTAATATAAGCGAGTAAAAACACACTTTACACATGTTTTGTTATGAATTTAAATATATAGGAACAAAAACAACTAAGAAACAAATTATACAAGAAATTCTAGTTTTCTATTTGCTCAATATTAATATAAATTATGGAATGCATATACATCATAGCTAATTCATTTAGACAATTTTCATCCATCGCACTTTGATGATATGATTTTATCAGTTTTAATGTCGAAAAATTCCCGCTTGTCTATAGATACTGTCACCGGTAACATCACATTAGTTTCATAAAAAACTTTGATATTCGAGAAGATCATCCTATGGCATCGAACATGAATTATATAGATCTTTTTTTATTAATCATCAACAGAACTAATTAGTGTTTGTTCATTGAGTAATGCAAACATTTTATACTTAAAAATAGTGAAAAATGTACACTATTTGTTTCTATAAATCTCATAGAAATACAAAAATACTTAGAGTATAGCATACATAAATTTTAAAAGGTGAGACTGTTTACTAGAAAATTATACTAACAAAACATGAAGATTATTTTGTTTAATTAAAAATTTACAAATAATAAACTAAAGATCAAATTTCTATTTTTAAATAAAATTAGGCGTAGATTATTTGATAAATTTGTTTATTGTTCAATCAATAAAGTGCTTGTCTTTCTTAATAATTTTTTTGTTTATCATTATCATCAACCTTTTCTATGTATGTTAACAAGCTCGTATACAAGGAATTAGAGCTATTGCTTATGTACTTTATTCGAATTGTTTCTCTTTCTATCCTGTTTATATATATATATATGTACATATACTTCATCATTACTGACCAAAGAACATACACGCCCATTTTTCAATGTTTATTTATTAGTTGAAAAGATTAACAGAT